CCAACTGACAACACGTTGTTGCAGTTGCGAATTCCGCGACCGAGATTCGACCGTCCAGTCTACGAATGCAACGACAGATGCTCCTGCCGAAAAGAGGCCTGTTGAAATCGAGCAGTTCAAAATCAATTCCAAGACACAAGAGCTCTCTCTACCTTCGAAGCAGGCGCCAAAGGACGAGATGTGCGTGCTGCGCGCGATTTTCACCACAAGCCGTCGGCCGAGGACAATATCACGTCACACCCCATTATTGTAATCAACCAATCAAAACCATCACCAAACGTGATAACTTTAACCTACGTTCATGTGTTAGCGCATTCATTACTCACGCTGTTTCACACTTCTGAGCTATAAATACACGCACACACACGCAACAGACAAACGGACGACTGCAAGTCTACGCGTCAGCGTCGCGACACAGATTCGACACGTCGTGCCTGACTCAACGACACCAACTCGGATCAAACAGGGACTGCTGCAGCACTTCTAGTCGTGCACATCTAGAAGTGAACAAGAATCAAAAGACTCCCAACATCTCCTGTCGTACAAACGACGACAACAGTCTTCGCCTGTGCTATCAATCCGAATAACCTACAATTTCGGAGATCATTTGAACATTTGTTGAAATATTCGCGTTTTGTGCTACTTCGCCCATCAGGTAAGTTGGGTTGTAATGGTATCAGTTGTCATCATGCCATTTCATATGCTTTTGAAATGCTCCGGTTGTCACCAAAACCACTTGTTTGTACTCATTTTTCGGGTTTAGTGAAGGTGCCAACTTGCGTAGTTTCTCGTATTAGAATCAAACCTATAATGCAGATGCTGCACTATAATTGTAATTGTCATATTTCGTTGTTTTGACGGGCTGAGTAGAGGCAGTGCTACAGGCAACGTAGTGTGCGAATGCACGTCATTATAATAAAAAGTGGCTTCATTAATACCTCAAACAACAAGCTCTGATGGTTCATGCAACAGAATGATAGTTCCACAGGTTGGTGTTGCCAGCACAATCGACATTTCCGTATCATCTGATTTAATGTAGACAGTCACCTTCTGTAGTTGTGGAAATGTACAAATCGAGATAGCCTGATTTCACATGTTGTAGATGCAGTACAACCACGCAGTTCGTGAAGAACTCCTCAACTCGCCAAATCCCGGATGCAAATGCGAAGGCAGCTGTATTGACAAACACGTCTGCGCGTGCATCGCTCGATCCCAAGGCTGCAATTATGACGTGGCA